AAAAAAAAAAAAAAAACCACAACAACATAGTATATTCAATTATGATCCTGCGTTCATTTAGGCGGGCAGTCAGAATGACAACAACAACAACAACAGGCTTGCTGGAGAGCACTGCAGACCTCGTGGTAACATCTTACATAAATAATAACCCCCCAATGAGAAATCACAGCATTATTGCTACAGGCTACACTTTTTTATTTATTTTATTTATTTATTTATTTTTTTGCCTTGTGGTGTTTTTGTGATGTTCAGTAATCCGTTTAGTCACCTTATCGCACTTTGTGGTTTTATCTCATTTGGTACCGCTTGTCTGTGGTATTTAATTGCTTTATATGATACCCATAGTGTATGTTTTTAAGGGTTTTTAATTTGTGATAATTGTCCTTTTTTTTTTAAATCATGTCGCATCACCATATTATGTTTACGGTAATACCAGCAAACGCTGTTAATACTACAGCGCTTTCACTATAGTAGCTCATTCTATTGCAGGAAATGTGTAAAAAGAAATCCAGTATATATATGTGGGGTTTAATTTGGGGGATTTTGCGCCAACCTCGTTCCTGCTGGAGGTTAGTGCACCAGTTCAGGTTACTAAAGACAACAGTGCCGCGAAGGAAACGATCAATGGCCTCATTTGTATGCGGTGCACAACCTTGCGACAGCTGCTGTAGCATCGTCTCTTTGCATGCATTTGTTCCAGACGGGCGTTCATTCCTCCCCCGTGAAGCTAAATGTCGCCTCCGTGTGTGTACGTGTGGTACCGTACTTGAACGCACCATAGCTTGACTGACATACAGGTCCTCGGACTCCCTCTGGTGGTCCAATGGAGCCTCGCCAGGAGGAATAATAATAATGTTGGTCAATTGTTTACACACCAAAACGCTCCATGTTGTAATATTTCACTGTGTAGACGACAATTACACGTGTGACAGGGTAATTAAAGAGTCGCTCCACAGATTTCTTTACTGATGTTTCATTATAAGTTGACTTAAAGGCTGCAGTTGCATCTGACTGCACTGAGGTAATATCTATATTAAGCACTCACATCCTTACCAAACACAAGTAGTGCGACTCTGTTTCAAGCGGACAAGCTGAAACAGTGAACGTGTTAAAAATAGAGATGTGAGCAGGTTAGGCATGCTGCAGCCTGCTGTTGCCAGTTAGTATCAGCCAGTTCATTCTTATATTCTGTGTCACACCCCATTTCAGACTGAAACAGATCTAAATGATAAGAAAAATCATCATAATAATAATACTGGTTGTAAATATATATTTATTTATTTATTTAATAATCGAAATTCAGGAAGTTGTGAGATTTTATTTGCTTCATTTTTTTTAAATAACATATAGTGTAATAAGGAAGTATAAATGATTGGTAGTTGTGAATATTCAGATAATGCTCAATATACTCACTAAACCTAGATGACTTCTGAAAATGTCCATGTTTACTTTTTTTGATGGCCATTTTCATACAGGAAATAACTTTAGTTAGGCTACTTTATACAGGAGGCTAATGAATCTTTTTGCCTAAACATAGAAGGAGAACATTTGTCTACGTGCTTACGTTACTGTTTTACACATTATCACACTTTAGCTGTGACACATCAAATCCTTTACATTTTTCGACTTGTGGTCAAACACTAAGGCACTGCTTCAGTCAGGACCTGAAAGTTGAGAGCTCGGTCAAGCGACCTACAGGCAGCATGGACAATACTGGAAATTACGCGGTTTTGACTTCAAAATAAAGTTGAAATGCTCACTCAATTCTGGTACTAGTCATCTGTGCTGCCTGTTTTTATTAACCTACAAGTATGGTGACTGCATATAGCTAAGGTTTGTCAGTCATCAAATTCAACATAAAGTCTACTTATGGAGACACTTATTTTCCTCTACGTTTTTTGGTGGGAATAGAATCAAAGAGAGACCACATAGTCACAGCCATAGCGTAGTTTTGTTGTTACCTCAGGTTATCAAGATTGTGGCTTCTTTCCTCTTCAAAGTGATTTAAGTAATAATAATAAGTAATAATAATATGTTTGCATAAGCATTCACTTCTTTTAACAGGCCACTCTTAAATCCCCTATGCAGCCAGTTGGATTTAAAAAACACTCATTCCCTTTTATTATATATTTTAGTTTGAAATGTCTTGTGTAATGATGTTACTATAATGATAATCAGATATATAAGTATTATGATTGTTTATGTTAGACTATAAAACATAAAAACATCCACAGGAGTTGAATAAACTTTTTCTTGAATTTTATGCATGGCTTATGTTATGAGTTGCACCCCAATTTACTGTGTTAAACATGTTTTTAGTCCAGCATAGGGAGTGCTACTATGTATCTAATTATTTAACTAACTTAAAATTCCAGTTTTACTTTTCATAGTACTTTGTATTTCCAGTAGTGGAATACAACAAAGTTAAATTTACTCAAGTAATGCATTTAAGTACACTTGTGGTCTTACTTTATACTTCTACTCCACTACATTTCTGAAAGAAATATTGTACTTTTTACTGTACTACATTATTACATCAGATTATTAATACAAAATATAAATCAGCTAATAAATGATGATGTATTATTATGGATTGAGATACCGGACAGTTTATAAAGTAGTTAAAATTAGCTCCACCTTTACCAGCTGAAGCATTATATCATTATAATCCATTAATATATATGATTCTTTTAATTTTCATACTTTAAGTATAGGTATTTTGTTGCTAATACTCTTGTACTTCAATTTAAGCTTTTAAATGTAGGACTTCTAATTGGAAGAGGGTACACACACTGTGGTATTGCTGGTATTTACCTCTTCCACCTCTGCGTAAAAAACGAATTTAATGTCCAGCGATAAGGATTTTATTTTGCAAGCCTTTAAACGGAAACAGTACAGGTTTTATTCTGCCACACTTGACACAGTTAAAGCAAACAGTGTCCTGTAACAGTTTGAAGTCTAAAATTAGGGAGGCACCCCAACAGCAAATGACGCAAGAAGGCTAAAGTGGACAGTCTACTGGTCTCTGCGTGTCTCTCAGGACTATGGAAACGATCCCTACAACTTTGCTGTTGTTGATGACATGGAGGGTATTTTTAGATCTTGTTGTCATCTTTCCGTAACAGCCCGGCTGCGGCGTTCAGTATAAAGGACTCTTTCAAAATGCAGCTGTACAACAGTGCGCTGACACACTACCCGAGGTCGTCTCGCAAAGTTACACTAACTTTATCGACCGGATCCGAGCGTTTGAACGGGACGACACCGAGTTCCTCTGAGGAGGCGGATAAAACAGCATTTACGCAACCAGACACAACTTCAACGACCAACGGGGATCCGGTGAGAGAGACTGCTTCTTCTGCAAACATGCCTGCCTTTTCGTGCTACGAGGCTTCATCCATGAGGCCGATTTACTTCACATCGACTGCTGAGATATTAATCCGCAGACCTGATGGAGTGGAGAGGTCTGTGCCTGTCCACATCATGAGGGAGTCCAAGACCAAACCGCCCTCCCCCGTCTCCCATAATGGTGAAAGTATCCTCTGTAATGACTGTGACACTGATGTGATTGTGGACTTGATAGATCATTTAAGAAATGGCTCAGATGAGCTTTTTCCTGACTGCCCAGAGCTGGTTGGAAATCACATGTTCAAAAGTAACAACATCTCTAGACCCAGAACAGAAGAAAACCAGAGGATGCTTGGAAATTCAAGTGAGGATGATACAGTTCCCCCCTTCAGAAGCAATGGATGGGCCTCATCACACGAAGAGGAGCTAGTCCCCTCCGGTGTTCCACAGCCTGAAGACCTCATAAAGGAAGACATCAATGATCGGAGCAGTGCCAAAGCTGCTCCAGGATCGGACGAGAGACGGGCCTTTGAGCTCAGCGTCCTGCAGGAGTCTCCTCCACAGAGAGAGGGTGTCAACGACAAAGTCACCCGGTACCTGGCTGAAGTGGACAAACAAAACAAATACCTCCAGGAGAGGCACAAATACAGGTACCACGTCATTCCAGACGGCAACTGTCTGTACAGGGCTGTGTGCAAAGCCACGTACGGGGACCAGGCGAGGCACGGGGAGCTGAGGGAGCAGACGGTGCACCACATCGCCGACCACTTGGACGAGTTCAACCCCATCATTGAAGGGGACGTGGGGGAGTTCCTGATCAACGCGGCTCAGGACGGTGCCTGGGCGGGATACACCGAGCTCCTCGCCATGAGCCAGATGCTCAATGTCAACATCCACCTGACAACTGGGGGGAGCCTGGAAAGCCCCACCGTCTCCACCATGGTGCACTACCTCGGGGAGGAGGATGCTTCCAAACCCGCGATCTGGCTGAGTTGGCTCAGCAACGGTCACTACGACGTCCTCCTGGACAAGTGCCTCCCCAACCCAGAGTACGAGGACTGGTGCAGACACTCGCAGATGCAGAGGAAACGAGACGAGGAACTGGCAAAGTCGATGGCAGCCTCATTATCCAAAATGTACATTGAGCAAAATGGATCTGCGTGAGAGCGATATTGTATGTGGAGAATTAAAGGATGCACACTGATATAGTAGAATGCAGAACCACTGATTCTGCTTGGTTTCTACATGCTTGAATATTTTTTTTATAAGATTTATATCAGGAGAGAAAGGAAGTGCAGTGCACATACTTTTGTTTTTTTGTATATGCCAGCAATGCCAAATTAGTGGCAGTGGACTCCGAACGAGTTTGAAAGTGTGTGAGATTGTTCTTTTTGATAGTCAGGGTTATGTGGACATGACTAAATTACTGTACAGTGCAGTGCTTTTGAGTGCACAGTATTTATTTGCCTTTTATTGTCAGATCAGTTATTTTTCTATAATGTTTGTGCTTTGTAGGCCACTGCAAATGACATTCATTTTTCATTGTTTAATATCTGTATCACTACTCTCTTTTGCACAAAAGTCCTATCAGACAAGTCCAGAGAGTTTGATTTGTGTCTGTGAGAACAATTCAAGGGGTTCCTTTTCTATTATTCCACTTCTTTTTAGGCTTTGGACAAAATATTTCAAAATAAAGTTTTGAAAAAAACCTGATTTGCAATCATTTCCTGTTAATGAAATGCTCATTGCTGATTGTCTGTCTCGTGTGTACATCTCCACAGAAATTGTTATCCAGTATTACAATAATAATGTTAACTATGTCATCTTGTGACATCTTGCAGAATTGCAAGTTCCTGTAATGGGATCCATTTATTAAATTGCTGCGAGGCAGGCTAGATGAAAGGATGTGTGCAGGAGTCATCCACCCCCTGCTGTCCTAAAGTGAAAAGTGATGTTTGGATTTTATTAAATGCAGTGACCCTGGAGCATGCAGCCTTTCATTCAGGTCAGGCTCTATAACTTAGTGTATTAAGTGACTGCGGTCTCAGTGCACAGATCACAAGGGCTGTGTGAGTCCAATATTCACTCTCTTTTCGCTATTTTTGGTCTACCCTGAGGAAAATATCTGTCTCTTTACCTGCTAAATGCTCCACAATGTTCACCAGCTAGTTGCTAACTGTGCCAGACTGTCGTTTGGTGCTGAGCAGATAGTGTACAGTGGGTTTTTTGGAGCTTTTCCAGTGAAAACAGCTGCTTCCTGTTAACAACACTATGAAAATGATGAGGTTGAGCCAGAACAGTACATTTGGAGGCCAGACAGCTAAATAATGAACCGTAACTTACTTTTAATTTCCATGAAGAAGAGGGGGTTGCAGAGTCAGGTGACAGTTCCTTCTAGGTCCACCGCTACGAGCAACCCCTTTCATATTGTTACACTGTTTTTACATCGTGATTTGATATATTATTATTATTAAAATATATACATTGTAGCGACTTTTATTTTGTTGCACACAACCAACTCCATACTTTAAACTAAATGATAGAGTGCAATTAACCCAAAGATATCAACCTTACATTTTTTAACCTTAAAAAAACAATTTTCATGTAAAAATTCAGAAAAAACTATTTGGACATGTTTGTCACCTGTCTTGGCCCTAGACAGTACGTAGGCTACGTGTCTATTTATGTAGGCTACATTCCCAAAAGATGCTGTCCACCAGTAAGGAACCTTTTCCCACTATTAAGGCAATGTATTGTGGGTCAAGAATTCATGTATGTTTTAAAAAACAGCAAATGATGAAAAAGCTTGTGAGGGAGACATAAAACATTAGAATTATACTGGAATATAACAGAGACTGTGTATAACAGTTATCAGCAAAAGCCAACAGTTTGATACAATAGCCCATTTATTTTCCACAGAGGAACTGATTCAGCTCTTGTGACTGCATGTGTCATTTATAAAACACCAGTTCATACTGCAGTTGTGCCAGATTGCATAATATTGTTCCTGGTATTTGTGAAGCTGTCTAGGATGCCTGCCCTCTGACAACGTTACACATTTTTCTCCATTAGGTGGCACTGTAGCACCCTCCATATACTCTGACAAAGTTATTGTATATTAAAGGGAATAGTATTTCTTTTCAAACTGATTACAACCTGGGATTAGCGGACCTACTGCATTGAGTTACATGGGCTTCATGGTGCTCCCACTTCTTAAAACAAAACGTGAAATGTTGGGAATCGTGATAGATGAAGAAGATAGAGGAAGAGGAAACTGCGGAATACTGTTTTAGAAAGTTTTAATTCATTATTACGCAGAATGCCCAACAAAGCTCTTTTTAAACAGAATAAAAAAAGAACAACTTTGTCTTAGCCTCCTGCTTTAGATAAAACATGTGTCCCATATGTTCCTACAATAGGCTAAGCCATGAAACATCACTGTATTAATCTTCCTGCCTAAACTTTATTATGGGGTTATTATGGATCTTTTTCCCTGAAAGCTTTACAGTGATGACGTAACCCTGCAGTCATGTGGACAAAAAAAAAGTTTTATCTATTTTTTTTTTTAATGCGGGAGGAGAGATATTGCCTCTCCCTGCCCCAGCGCGTCTCGTATGGAGCGTAAAGTATCAGGCTACAGAGCAGAGGGCAGGTGAGAGTGGACCGAGCCGCAGTACTGGCACACAGTCAGCACAGACACACACACACACACACACACACACAGAGGGAGCAGAGGGAAAGTCAATGACAGACGCTCCCCACCGGTGCTCAGCGCGTCTGTGAAGGATTCCCACGCAACGAGGGACGCGGGGTCACCTCGACGTTCGGAAGTTACCGGATACTTTGAAACAAAAAAACACAAAACAAGAAGAACACAGTCGGTTGTATCGCGTGGCTCCTGACCTGAGAGAGAGAGATAGAGAGATAGAGAGAGAGAGCTGGTATCGGACATGTCGGGACACCGGGTGCAGTTCGCAGACCTTCCTCCGAGTGATCACAAAGGAAGTCCCAAATTTCACAGTAAGGAAAATAAAATAAATAAATATTGAGCTGTAATCTCTGCTGACCTTGGTTTCACATTAACTCCACAGTGTGTGTGTGAAGTTTTTAAGTTTTTCCGCTTATTTTAGGGGCAGGCATCCCCCTTTCTTTAGCTTAGTGTAGTCATTTAGGACGCAGGAAGAGTTAATTTAAGTTAATTTCACATGGAAATCCCCATTGGAGTATGTGTTTTCCCTTTTTCTTTCATGTTTGGCTTAATGTAGCCATGATGTAAATAATTACACACCACTCATCAGCTGTCTTAAGGAAAACAGTTGTGCTCCATGAGAACCTAGGTTATACTTCTCTACCTGCCTCAATAATTTGTCATTAGAAACAATGATTGGGGGAAAAGGTCAATTAAGAGGAAGTTTTTTATTATGCCTTTCAATTTTTAAGCAAAACTTTAGTTATTTGCTGTCTAATGTCTTAGAGGGAATATGAAAATTGTTTCAGTCATATACAAGCATTTCCACTGCTCACATGACGTGTATGTTGCTCGGTATACTGCGTGCATGAATATGTTCTTTATGGTTTGTGGAAGCTGTGATGAACCTTTACTTGTGATGCACTCTGCATGTGCATCAGTGGTGTGATCCAATTCTGTCCCCACTTAATACACTTATCCAAAGTGGCAGTTGCCCTTTACGTGCTGCTGCTAACTTTTTTTTAAATCCTCAGTGAGTGTAACACTTCTCATGTTCTGTCTTAGTAAGGTGACGCTCACCTTGAGATGCATTCAGCGACCACTTCACTGCACCCCACAGCGTTCAAGTATAACACATAAATGGCTCCCAAATAGGAGCAACGCATTCAGGGCTTCTGTGCTTTTATTGCACAAGTGGATGGTTTAAAGACGTGCTTCTGATCGCACGAGGTGCGTCAGTGTCAGCTGTGCCTGCCTCTGCTGCTGTGTGCTGCAGTGTATGCACTACAGCATGAGACACAGAGAAGCTGAGCTCATCTCCATGGTGACAGGTTGAATGACAGGACACGTGAGGAAGGATGCAATGGAAAATTGCCAGTTTGCTGCAAAGCCCTTCAGAGGGGTGCATCTACAGTACACTCTGGTTCTATGACAGCGCATGTGCAAGCTTGTGATATATTTGTATCTACAATGGCAGCTGTTCTGGTAGTTTGATGGGGGGGGGGGGTTTGTGTCACAATCTGTCAGTAACATGCACGTGAAAAGGGCTGATGTTGTGTGCAGCTCAAGCTCAGGTTGTACGCAGAGCACCCTGTGTTGGTGTGTGGAAGGAAGGACAGAAAAGCCAGCTTCAGCAGCAAACCACAGGTTCTGACTCAGCCCGTCCGATTCTCCAGCTGTGCAGATGCAAGTGACAGTGGGGTCAAGTTTCAGTCTCTTCTCTTTCTCTCTCTCCAGTGTGTCACAAACACACTCATGCCCCACTCACATGCACAACCTAATGCTCAGGGATAGATCGGCAAGTTTTAATACTCATTCACTCACCACATTAAGACAAGTGAAATACAAAAAAAAACACAGGAGAAGCTCATCCATCACTCCACTCATTGTCAGACGGCTATAACAGCTAATGATGTTGGCGTTACCTAGAGGGAATACTTCATCAGATGTGAGTAGTTTGTTGTTCAAAGAGAGGAGCCAGCTCTGACCATTTCACTTGAGTTAAAGCAGTTATCTGCAGCATCTATGTTTTGACATTTTTTGAAGAGATATGGTTATTGTTGTGGTGTTTCTAAATTGGACTCCTGTCAAAAGTTTGAGATAGAAGTTTGCTGTGACATTCTTTTTGGGTTATGTTATATTGATGGCCATAAAGACCATCTTTTCCTCGCTGTTTCTGCTGCTGGCAGGGAAACAACATGTCTGTGTGATGGAGGACGTTTCTCAAGAAAGCCCTAGTAAAGCAAATGTAAAGGCTTTCATGAATAGGTTATCCATCTAATCTTGTGCGGAAAGAATAAGATAGAAGTGTTTAGATTATTACTTTAACCTTTTCCCCCTCCGGCTGCATTAAAAGCTGTTTGGATAGAATTACAGAAAGAGAAGGTGTGAGTAATAGTGTCTCGTTATTGCTAAATGGAAGTACTAACGTGTCGGTGAAAGGCTGATAATTGTATGTCAGTACTTTTGAAAAGCCACACTCATCCCCTCCTGAGATCGCTTTAGAAAATCTCAATTTCCAGCGGTGAGAAATTCTGGGTTCGTGTGGATCGAAGGCCAAGAGACAGAAAGAAAGAGATTGGTGGTCATGTTCTTGTTATTATACTTGTATCAGGGACAAGGTCAAACCATACTGTAGGGACCAGCTCAGTTTTCCTCCTCAGAGATTCATTCCCTCATCTGAGTCTGGATTACCTGAAGAAGGGCTTGTTTCTCCCTTGTTCATAATCAGTTCCACCATGTTCCCATTTTCCATTTTCAGCTGTTGCTTTACTGTTCACCACTGCCATAGTGGGACTTTTTGAGTCATCATTACTTTCAGTGTCCTTTAGATTTAAATTCAATATTGGGTTAGGGTTAGTTATTATGATTAGTCTGTGCTCCTTCTTACAGTGAGGTGAATGTAGAGCTACACATTCAATGAGTAAAACAGTGTCACAAGGTGTCTTTCAATAAGCTGCTTTACATCCTGAACAGCTGCACTTTGAGCCATGCTGTTCATCGTCTCAGATTATATCAAC